ATGGGCAAGTTAATTTCAAAAAATATTTTTATGATTTTTTTTGGTATTTAGCATGGGACAATACATCTTTAATAGCAAACTTAATTTTCTAAAGACCATCAAGAATAGCAGGAGAATAATTTAAATTTCTTATTTAGTAAAATTATTCTATTAAATAAATACATCTGGGTGGAAGAGAAAAATTATATTGATGAATATAAAATATATGAGTGCAAATAAAAAGTAAGTGAGGTGACCACTATGCAGTTGTATATAAAAAAAGGTGTGTGGCAATGTAAATAGTTCACTAATTATGTTGGCAGTGATAATTATACTAAATATTGAATTTGGAGGGAAAATAAATATTTTATCGTGAAAAATCTTGGCGACAACATGCAGGATTAAAATAGAGGAAAACATTTTTCGCAGAAATTTCAAATTTTTTTCGATAATGGATTTCAAGAATGCAAAAAAAAATCTTATTTTTATTCAAAATAATTATTATCAATGGCCGGTGGGTTTGCAAAACACAGTATAAAAAATTTTGCCTCAGGCGGGACTTTTTATACCTCGTTTTGCAAACTTACTTTTTTAAAGATTGTCAGAGGAGGGTGGAAAAAAGACAAAAATAAAATTTTGTTTTTTATTTAGCAAAATGATTTAGCCAAAACCATCTAGACGGAGGAGAAAATAAAATAAAATCGTATTAATGAATTAAACAGTGTAGTAATGAGATTGATAAATGCTTTCAATTTAGATAATTAAAGAAGAAATATTTTTATATATTTCAGGGAAGCAGATGGCATAATAAAAATAAATATAAAATTTTTTTTAATGATAATAATAAATTTTTGAGAAAAACGTTATGTCCCCACCGGGATTCGAACCCAAGACCTTCCAATTACCATTCGGATACTCGACCAACTGAGCTATGAGGCCAAGTGGTATGCACCCTTGGTTTTCCCATTAGGAGGCGTTTTTTTTCTCAAGGTATTGCGTAACATGGAATGGTTAATAGTAAATTGCATGAAAGAAACAACTAATGAAATTACCATTCTATTCGTATTGGAGGGTGCACTAACTGGCCAGAAAATGAAATATTTTTATTCAAAATCACCATTTTCAGCGGTCGAAGGGTTTACTAAACAAGGTATAAAAAATGTATTGTAGCTTTCATTATAAAAATTAATAATACTCTTTCTTTTACAGAACAAAAAAAAAACAGTTGTTTTTACATTACACAGTATTTCAATTAAATAGCTTTTATTCAATTAAACATTAGAATTATAAAACAGTTTTTGTTAAAATGACATAAATATTACCATTACTACATTTTTCGCATACCGGTCTTAAACTGGCTGGTAAAGATGGATTTAAAAAAATGATGTTTTTGTATCAGAGAAACTCTTTTCCCGACCTTTGTATCAATATTATTGGATCAGCCATTTAATGTTTTAATTGAATTGTTTTTCTCCGTTTTATGACAGACTACAAAAAAAGTGTTCAAATGTTTTACAGATTATCCAAAGGCCTTCAATAACATAAAGAATGCAACACTTGTAAAGTGCTTCAAAAACAATGGAATACATACATGACAAGGACTTGGAACAGATAGAGCCAACCAAGGTTAACGATAAGCTAACTGAAGAGTCTCAAGTAAAGAAAGGAGTAAAACAAGGGTTTGTTCTAACACCATTTCTTTTCAAGTTAAAGACAAGACAAAAAAGCTCAAAGGTAGAGGATGTTAAAGGACTGCCAACAAGACACCGAGCTAACCACAGATTCTTAAGATCTATAAAGCCATGTTTAATGAAAAATGAAAAACATTATGAAATGAAAACAAATGCTTATCAGCTAGGAAGAAAGTGTTCCTAAACTGAGTGGTACTGTTTTCATAAGACGATTCAAGGATGAGGGGGAAAGGAAGCCAACCCAGATCACCTAAATTTTTGAAAATAAAAAGAAAAATGGAAGAAAAAGTAAATTACATTCAAATTTAAATCTGAGTGAGTGTCATTTCCAGAAGTGCCATCAATTCCGTACCTCAGCATCAATCATTGTGGGGGGCTGAGGTAGTCTGGAACCTCTGCAGTATCTGTACAATTGCCCTTTCGGGCCCCTCATTTCTAATTCCTGGATGCGCCATTGGCATTTTCAATTAGTAAACAGCTGAAATACAGTTTTTTTAAAAAGTGGATTCATCATAGCATGTTGGAGGTAAGGAGAATAATATATTCAGAGAAATACAGAAAATAGCTGAAACAGAAATTCACTATAAATGTCTATTAAGAAAATAAAAATGGAATAATTCAAACTTTCTCATCAGATGCTACACATTTTGAAGAAAACCATTTAAAAGGGCAAATTATTTAAAGTGCAAACTGCTATTACAATATTATTTTAGTAGAATTAATGAAAAATTAATTGTTTCAATCAATATATATTATTTGGTCTTTTAATTCAATGTTTTAATTGATTTCATCAAACTATCTTTACTTATTACCATCATGTGAGTGATTTATCCAAATTAAAAATCAAATACAACCTACAATAAATTGTTTATTAATGTCTGGATTGTTGTAAAACAAAAAGGCATGTTTGGTAATTTCCTACTAAAGATATGCACTGAAACCTTTATTAGTTTATTAATCTCCGCCAAATGAGAGGGTATGTATTCACCATTGCTGTCTGTGTCTGTTAGCAACGTTATAGAAAAACATATGAAAGCATCATCATAAAATTTAGAAGGGTACAAGATATGCGAAGAAAGAGATGATTAAATTTTGGAAAAAAAAGTGTTATAAGGACAAGGCAAAGAAAATAATAAAATAACCCACCATACTCAACCTGCATAGAATGATTGCTAATAGTATTTAAAATAATACACTGCTTATTTGTCATCAGAGTGTATTGCGAAAATTATTTTTGGCAGTGCTTATTCAAGTGCTATGTTCATTTGCTTATTTATCAACATCATTTACAATACTGTAGTTCTATCTCCAAAGGTGATATTTAATGTAGTAATAATTGAGGGGAAATTGAGGGAAAAAGAGCAAGTAGAAGACAACGAAATTAAGTTTTTGGACCGATTTAAAAGTTTGTGCTGCACCAACTCCACAGCAGCCATTATAAATCAGGTAAGAGATCACCAGCGTTGGAAGCTCTTGGCCGCATCACGTATGGCGATTGAAGAAGAATTTAAATATTTATTATTTATTGACAATATTTTGAATGGACAATCCTTACTTATGGGAAACTAATCAACAAAAAATTAATTAACATGTTCCCTGCCTTGTGTTAAGACAGTTCTTACCCGCACAAGCTTTAAAGGGCGCCACGTCACGGAAAAATATTCCCTATTTGCTCTGTAGTATACATAATATCTCAAAAATTCATTTTCAGATTATCAGCATACTGATTGAACGTGTTGTGGTACTTGCAGTGAATCGGTGTAAACAAGTATAGAAGCGGTTCAAGTATACTTCAGCGAGATTTTTTTATACCCTGCTTTGTGATCTTATTTTTTTAAAGATCGCCAGAGGAGAGGAAATAACAATAAAGTTTGTTACCTTATTTAGTAAATAGTGTTGCCAAAAACATCCAGACGGAGTAGGAAAAAAAAAATGTTCTTGGTGAATGCAAACAGTGTGTAATGTGATGGTTAAATGCTTTAAATTTATATAATTAAAAAGAAATATATTATGTTTAGCAAAAAACCCACTGCCTGCCAATAATGATGATTTTGAATAAAAATAAATTTTATCCCAAAAAAGGAAATTTCAGAAAAAAATTATGCTGGCCCTGACATCTCCAAAAAAAAAAAGTCTCGCCTTTTACCAGCCTGACAGCAACAACCTCTACTAGAAATTTTGTCTATGGCAAACAGACATGTTATATCCTCTTATTTTTCCATAGTAAATCATTTGTATTCCCATAAACTCATGCCAAATCAGGTCAGTGGGCTCATCCAATTAACGCATTTCCTGAAGGCATAATTACGGTTCATTCAGTGGAAATACTGTACAATAACAGACACGAACTGATATGCAATGATAGTCCACAAGTGTGGTCCCACGTTGGAAGCAGCAATTTCATGCGATCTGGTTAGATGAGCTTTACTAAATCTAACTTTGTTGCACATGGCAATACTCATCACCAGTTGACTTCCTCCGGAAGACAATTGACAATACAGAAGTAAAAACATGTAAATAAGCTAGTTTGCGGGAGATTTTTGCAGGGGCGCAGGAGGCAGTCTCGATATCCGGGGCCGAGCATTTACTCTTGTCGGACAGCCCTAGACCCCCTGATGTCTGATGACAAGGTCATCTGATAAAAAATTCTTAAAAAATAATAATTTGCCTATCCAAATAATTTGCCTATCTAAATAATATTGTGGCCTAAAAAGCACAATTTGGACCATACTAAGCCATAAAAACTCTCCCCGTGAAACCTTCTAGGGATTTTTTATCTTGGGAACCTGACCAAGGCTCTAGTCGTCCCCTTGGTTCGGACGCCTCCGCAGGCTTAGCCAGAGAACCGTCCGGCCATCTTTTGGACGAACTACAATTATTTAGGATGGCCACTTTTATCGTGACGGCTTGGACAGCTTGGCCTAATGAGTTCGGCCTAGCCTAATTGGGCCTGGTTCACCTTTAGCAAATTCTTTATATTCTTCAAATCTATCGAGTGTTACATTAAACTAAAACTAAATCATATTTAAGTTTGATAAAAACAACATTGTTTCATACCAATATTCAGTGGGGATTCTCAAAGATGGGCGTGGTCCGCCAATCGGCTCAGTGCCACGCCCACTGGCTTCCATTTTGGACGGCCTATTTCGAATTTCTGGCTAAACCCCTGCCTCAACAGGACATGTCGGGAACCCTTGTTGGTAAAATTTCCAGAGCCACCACTGCTCCCACAACCTTCAGAACACTTGGAAATCAGAAGACTTTCCAGTGGTGTCCTCAGATAGATAGTATGTAAACACATGGGTATATCTCTAAAACAACATGACTTACTCTCTTTAGTGTCAGCTTCGGCTGCAGTGTTTTGCCCAAGAGAGGGGTGGTGGTGGTGATGGTTTGCAGGTGGCTCGTAGTGGTGCAAGTTATCAATGGCGATGCACCCACTGATCTCATGGGAAAGTCGTGCAACGGCAGTCTGGAACGGTGTTTTGCATTTTCTGCACTCGTATTCTATAAGCAAAAAAATGTATTTGTTATCAGAGGTCTTTGTTTTGTAATTAGGAGATGAAAGTATGGGTAGACTAGTGCTCTCTGAGAAAATGTTATGGAAATAAGTTAAGGTGAGGTAATTTCAACAGAGCACCTGATGGCCGCTTCGCTCAGGTTCGAGTTACGCACGAACCTAGCTCTCGGCACAACTGGTTAGAATTGGCAGTTTTTTTAGCTTTTTGAGCTCCCGATTCCATGGCCATTGCTGACCTCACTGATCCTCAGGGCCGATAGATTGCCGTGCTGCACTCTTCCTCTTCAGCACTGTAGCTGAGGCACTGCCTTCTTGGATTGCGGACCCCCTGAGTCTAAGGGCATGTAGATTGCTGCGCGGCACTATTCCTTTAATCGAGAAGTTTAGTGGTGTTGATGGGAATGCCTCTTTGGCCAGAACAACTACTTCTCAAAACATTGCTGGGCCTCAGGCCAATGATGCAGTGTCAATGAATGAGAGCTCTGGGATGGTTAATGGGATTTGCTGATGGTATTATGATACGTCAGCTCTTCCATCCCCCATTACTTCCAGCAACTTATCCATTGCTTCCTTGTAATGGGTCCTATGGTCCACAGCCCAGCTGTTCTACAGTTCCTTGTTGCCCTTTCAAAGTTTAGGTGATTTACAAGGTCATACAGTGTGGCCATCTCCCTCCAGTACCATCAGCGGGGAAATGCTCCCAGCTGATCCGGAACATACATTATAGTAAGAAATTCATAACAGTACAGCATGAAAAATCTACCTTGAATCTTACTAAAGAAGATTTGTATTTTTTTACTTGAGCAAAAAAACAGGAGATAAAATAGAATAAAAACTGGGAAATCCCCTACTTCTTACTATACTAGCACCACAACTCCATTAGAAACAATCAGTAACCCTATAGTGACAAGTAACACATGCTCAGCCGACCAATAGTTTAGAGCAATATGTCATGAGGAGGGCACCAGAATGTCTTTATGTTCTGTCCACACTATCAATTTTTCTTTGACAAAAAAACTGTTGTATGCCCATATATAGTCATGATGTGCCTATATATGGTCATGATGTGATGTCATCATGACCATATTTAGGCATTTCACATGTTTTGGTCAAATAAAATTTGATAGTCTGGACAGGGGCTTTAGAAAAACAATTTATATAAAATCGCCAATATCGACAATCATTATTTAACTATATTGTGACATACAATCATCCCTATTTCTGGAATGCCAATGCCACAATATACTATTTCTGGCAACAAAACAAAGGTTAGATAAATGCATTCATTTCAAATTTATCAAAAATGGTGTATAGGAACTGTTTTAAAAAAAAATTCTCTGGCTAAGGAATTATTTTGCGTTCTGATTTTTGTTGAAAGCCCGAAATACACAAGAAAAAAATTTGTTTGACATAAGGTGGCAGTATAGTATCTTTAAGATTTGGAGGAGCCAGTAAAGGTATAAATGACAAGGTAACTGAAACCACTCCACGTGGATTGGAAGCATTTCATCAAGAGACAAGAGAGAAGAAGAGATGGACCAAACAAGAAGCACTGAAAAATTCTCTTTTTTTTTTAAGAAACAATTTTTTTGCAATTTATTTATTTATAAAATTTATTTATTATTTTTAATTGTTTTAGGCCCAAGGCCCAGGATATGCCAATCAGCAAACTTAATCACTTTTATAAGTGGCATATCCCTTCACAAGGCAGTCGAGTGGCCGAGCAGTAAGGCTGGGGCGCTGCTAACTGCAGCCTTAACATCGGCGCTGGTTCCAGCTGCTTCTTGCCCTGGGTTCGGTTGGTAGAACAAGTCTTCTCGGATAAGGACTTAAAATGGAGGTCAAATGTATACATCTGGCTCATGTGTACTTTAAAGAACCCATTGCACCTTTTTGGAAGAGTGCAAACCATGAATAGAGGGATTCGCAGATGGGCGTCACATGACCTAACTTGGATGTTGGATGTAAACATTGTACTGGCCCAGGCACAGCGGAGATTGCTATGGCGGCCGTCCCATGTTATTGCAATACAGATCATCACAGTTGCTGCATTTGTTATTTGAACATAATTTCAGTTACTCTAAGTCAATTGTTGATGTCCCGAAATTCACCAAACTTTGTGTGACTTGTCGTCCAAGGGAATTCAAGATTTTTGGACAAAGGTAGAGCCTAAGCACTGCATATCTACGGACTGTTTAGATATGCATGAGAGTCTTCGACCGGCGGACTACGCTATGATTTCTAGGCTAGCAAATATGTACGAAGGATCCCAAATTTCAAAGCATACAATGCAAGGAGAATGCTAGAATAAGTAAATAAACACTATTTTGAACAATCGCATTGCCTTTCCTTGCCATTTATTTCTCACATTACACAGTGGGTGGTTGTTTTTCGAAACCATAACATTACCTTTTCCTATACTTTTACACCGATCGCACTGTAATGTTTTACATGGTACACGCACCGTAGGTCATGTGACTGGCTGTAAATAAACATCGCCGAATCCCTCTATTGGCTTTAAATGAAATGGATAATTCCACTACATTTTGCTTTATTTGTAGAGACTACAGTCAATCTAGCACATACATTCAGTAATGTTGGTTCAACATATTATAGTACTGTTAGCAGATAATACTTTAGTGGACAAGCCCTGTTCAGACCATTCAAAATTTTATCTGACAAAAAAAAGTGACATGCCCAAATATGGTCATGATGACATCACATCATGACCTTATATAGGCACATCATGACTATATATTGATTTGAATTGATTGGCCGAGCGGTTAAGTCAGGGGCACTGTAACCTTCAGCTCTAATATCGGTGCTGGTTCGAATGGCTCACTCGCCAATGGTTCCAGTAGTGGAACAAATTTTCTCGGCTAAGGACTTTAAACTGTAGGCCCAGTGTATGCATTTCACTTGTGTGCACTTTAAAGAACCCAGTACATCCTTCGAGGAGAGTAAAGGGGTTACCCCGGTGTAATGGTCTATTAAGTCCCCCGTTGTTAAATGGATATGCCACGTAGGACAGTGATTAAGTTCACGTATTGGCGTATCTTTGGGGTTTGTGCCTAAAGAAATGAAATGAAAAATATGGGCCTACAACAGTTTTTTGTCAAAGAAAATTTGAGTTAGGACAAAGCTTTACGCATGACCAGACAATAACATTTGATGACAGAAAAATGTGCCATGCTCAAATATGGTCAAGATGACATCTCATGACCATATATAGGCACATCATGACTATATATGGGCATACAACAGTTATGATGACATCACATCATGACCATATATAGGCACATCATGACTATATATGGGCATACAACAGTTTTTGTCAGAAAAAAAATTGATAGTGACAACAAAGCTTTACACACTGCACCACACCCATCATAGTATAGAAAAGGTCAGATCATTTAAACAGGTATTAAATGAGTGCTCACCATAATATATAACATACGACCACAAATGAAAATTTTATGAGTAGTGTCAAAGACCTGTCTATGGGTAAGAAATGGATCTACTCACTTGATTTATCATCTCCTTGTTCAATAGAGGAATGCACGCCAGAGGCGGAACCTAGCATGTCGTGAGGGACTGGACCACGGTGACTGCTGGGTATGTTCAACATTGATTGAGCCATTTTGGACGCCAGATACAACTGGAAAAAAAAACATGCACAAAATGTATTGCACAAAAGCTCAAACATACTAATTATATTTGAGTTTATTCATTTTGAAACGTGATAAACCTAACATGCAATATTAATATCTATGACTGTGTATAACTGCAGACAATTCAAAGTACATTCATAACAAAATTGAAAAAAAAAAAAAAAAAAAAAAAAATTCCCCTCCTCAGTATCACTCCAACTTCAGCAACTCCTCCCCCAAAACTTTAGCTGTCTTTCCCCAACATCAGCAATCCCTTCCCACAATACAGTAGTGTCTCCTTTCCATTTCACTCCTCCTATCTTATCAGAAATCACGTCTAGGACACAACTCATTCCTACTTTACGGGTAGTTTCTCGCAACTTCCTACCTCTACAGACCAAACTGTTAGAATATCGTACTCGAGTTTCGGTTTAGTGCTCTCGACAAGATACTATTTATTAAAACTAAGGACAATAATTATTTTTAGGAGCTGTCCATTTTGTTGGATTTCTAGAAGATGTATAGGAAATCTTTCATTATTATAGATTCTAACTACATCAAGGTAAAATACATGTGCAATATTCCGTATCCATTACTGTGAACTCCCACACAATGACGTAATTACCGCCTTTCACGATAAGAAAAGCTTGGATACAGTAGTGTAATCAATTTTCTAAAATGTTTAAAACACTCAATGTAAAAAAAAAAATTCAAATTTTAGGTAAGTTTTAGGTAAAAAAAATTACTGCACAAAGTTACACAACCCACTATCTAGAGAACAAATTTCTGGAAGGATAATCGCATGGAACTACTTGAGTAAAAATGCTTGACCAACCCCAATTCACCAAAAAAATTAAATGAAAATAATATTTAATTTGTCTATTTAAGACTGATACTATCCTGCTCTGTCACATTTTCAAAGATAAAATTACATTACAGTATATTATAATTAAATATACTAATTAATAATAGTTGTTTAAATTGGCATGTTTGATAATGCAAGAAGGTCGTGTCTGACTTGTATTGCATCGTTTATGCAGGTCAGAGTTCAATAACAAAAAACACAAACTTGGTTGGTATATGACGCAAAAATTAATGTTAGTTAACAAGGCTGTATCGAGACAAAACCTAATATAATGGGATTTTTTTTTTCATTCAGAGAAAATGTTTTAAAACAAGGTCATTATTATTTTGACAAGTGTTTTCTTTTTAAACACACATCTATAGTTTATACACATAAAAATTGTGTATTTAGTAATATATACTGTACTATATTACCAACATCAATCCACAATTTAAAATTACTGTTTTCTCAAAATCTGGTAAAAAAGAAGATGACCTTGTCACCGAACATAATAAATGGCTGTTTTTTAAATGCTTCTTTCTATTTTTGGATCTAATTGTGCGTCTGCCTGCCAAAAAAGCTGGTATAAAAAATATTATCATAACAAAAGAAATGTTGAACATGAATAGAATAGTGAATATTGCAGCGAGTAATGATCATTATGAAAAAGATTCTTTGTCCAACTCAAATATTCATGTTATAAATAGTCAATTTTTTTTACATATTTAGTCTAAATCATATCCATATCTAGGGCCAAGCTATTTTATGCATTTTGTTCTAAACTTGGCATTGCAACGAAAAGTAAACATTTTAGATGGAATTACACAAATTCAGCCATGCAATAAAATTACTGTACATTAGATTTCTGTTAAAATTCAAACAAAACTAAATTGTGTATTTGTGATTTTATTTTTTTTATCAATTTTTGCTATGAAATGTAATGTTTTAATACAATAAACTACAGCCTTTTGTTATGAGATATATAAAATACAATATCACTATAATAATATAAATAAAACAATAAAATAAATCAATTACAATTGTCTGGATATAAATCATGAATGCGAGAATCACTGTTACTGCAATTTTTTATTTTTTTCTTAAATCAATTCTTGCATGAAATGTAATTTTTAATACAATAAATTATAGCATTTTATTACTGGATATAAATAAAAATAAATAAATATTAAAAATGAATGAATGCATTAAATAAAATAATAAAATAAATCAATTACGAATATGGGAATTACTGTAGTCCAGTATTCAATCATCTTTTTGCTGTAATACAGACTACTGTAGTTTTCTACTGGCGGATGTATTATGCAACAGTGAAGACAATCGTGTCTGTGCTGCGAGATAATCCTCTACTCTTCCATATTATAAGTGCATAGAGACCTGTAACGTGCACAGCATTGAAGCAGACAAGTAGACATTTCAACTGTGAAGTTTCAGAGTTAAAATTTCCCATTATCATTTTATTCCTAACTTCCTCGAAGTAATCAATTAAAAATCTGTAGAAAAACTCACAAATTTACTGAACAAAATTCCAAAAATGTGTGTTAAGTTCATTCCATATCCCTCCACCCCATTTCACCCACAGTTTTACCTTCTCCTTGGGTGAAGCAAACATTCTCTAACCAAATGTGAAATTCATTAGATATGGCCATATAACAAAAAGTTATTAGTTTATCACCTATCTAGGCTGGAAAAGTGATGAGGGATCGAGGGAGGCTTTTTATTTTAATTTTTTGCTAAAGCCAAATATTAGCCTTGGGTTATTTGCTGGGTGCATTGATATTCAAAATAAAATGCATGATTGTGATAATACAAAAAACATCTACTAACTAATTACTAAAAAATTTGAAAAATAAATAAATAAATTTTCTTTTAAAAAAAATACTTTTTTTCCAATACCACAGAAGACATGCAGGCAAGGGTGATAAATTATTTTTTTTATTGGGCCTAACAGATCAAAATGCTCCTAGCAGATAAACCCCTTGACTCCTCATTAGTAAGGAACACTATAAATCCCATTTTCTATGATTATTGGTACCACCTCTTTAAGAAAATAGGTCCTAGACTGCCACTCGCACGACACCCAAGCCACTAGCAAAAAAAAAGCCCAAAATCCCTGGCAAAAAAAAAATTTTGGATTTGACTTTGATACAAATTGTTATTTTTTTCAAGTTTATTATCTGCATCTAATTATTGATAAACATTTGATCATAAATGTATTAATTGAATTTTTGAGGAATTTATAAATTTCATTAAAGACAGTGTAAACATCTTTTTTGTGAAAAGCTTTGAAACATTGAGAATCAACAGTTTAAATGACTCTTCTGCAAGATTGCGGTAGACACAAGGAGACCATCTAGAGCAAAACCACAGAAATATTGATCTCCATTGTGCAGAGTACAGACAGTTGATTAGAACTTACTACACTACCCTCAACAAAAAGAACATTACGCCACGGTATAATCACATCAGCATAATGTACCGCAGCCGAGTTGGATACCTGTAGGTTAGTGGGCAAGTCTGGCTACATAGTAGTAGCTGTGATGCTATCTAGCTTTGAAAGTACGAATATTATACACATAAATGTTCCTCCATCAGACAGTTACTATCTTGGGAGTCATCTCTTCTTCAGCATCCATGCAGTTGAAGAAGGCTGTTGGTCATTTTATTTTTGTGGGGTAATCGACATTTTAAATTCAACAATATTTTCAACATTACTTCAGTAAAATGATAGATATCCTGTAATTATAATAAAAAATTATAAAAACAAACTTGTATAATATAGTAATAAATACAAAATTGCTTCTACAGTATTCATAATTTTTTTTCCTTTAGTTGAATATCTATCTCAGCTTATTCATTGTTTTTATGTGGACTTTCCATTTCAATACATTATCCAATGAATTACTGCACAGATTAAGCATTCAAAGTATGCGTAGTACCCCTATTAAGGCGACACCTTCGGGACCAGAAAAAGTGTCCCCTTTATAGGGGTGTCCCCTGAATAGGGGTATCCCTATTAAGGAGAAACAAAAATTCAAAATTGCCCCTTAGTTTTTGGCATGTTTTCATACAACAATGACATATATTCTGTATAATTTTATTTTTATTGACATAAGGAATCAGCTAAGTAGAATTAGAACTAATTTATAGCAACAATTTGCAATGCAAATACAATTAATTTCATAATATGAAATCAGCACAAATGTAATTAAAACAATAGTTTTATATGTTGTAGAAGCGGTTTGCTTGTGTCCTTGAGCAAGACACATTATCTGCATTGCTTCTCCTGTAATCACTTGTCTTGTCGGGCTCTTAGGTAGACCATACAGGCTTGTATGGTACATGTTATGCCCTCCCAATTTAACCAAACCATCACTGCATGGGTTCTCGCCACCCAGAATACTATAAATGGGTACCTAATGGGGTTGCCTACTCCTGCAATGTTTACCAGTAGCAACACTTAAAACACGAGGACCCGATGACCAGGGGAAAGAAGCGCTTTGTATCTACCAAGAAAAGCCGCTGTAAAAATGATATAAATAATAAAATAATAATAAAATGTTCCCAATATTATTGCATGATGCAATGTTAATGACCAAATATTCCTTTTTTTATTTAAAATATTGAGCTTTCTATTGGATGAATGTAGCATGAATAGAGTAATGAATTAATGGTGCATGTTAATGGTATGTATTAGAATCCTATATGAAAGTACATCAAAAACAAAGGAAATAAAATTCCCATGGTTAAGGGTCAAAAGTGACAATATTGGCTTATACTGTATGCAGTAACACAGTATTCAGTAGGCATACCAACGTTTATTCTATGGATTCAGTGGAAAAAATTCTGGTTGTTTGCTCAAAAGGTGTTAAAATATGAAGTTGAATGAATTTTTCTTACTTTGAGACTGCTGTAGTTGTGATACAATGATAAAAAAAAATTCAGTGTCCCCTAAATAGGGGTTATTTGACTATTTGGCACTCAGAAATTGTCCCTGTCCCCTTAATAGGGGTCAGCCTTAATGTTAACAGATACTGTATATTCCCCCTTGTTTTACGAAAGTGTTCCCTTAATAGGAAATTCAATAGCTTTTTTCCTTTAGTTGAATACCTACAGTATCTCTTTACTGGGTCACTGTCTGATAGCCTAATATCCTAACATAGTGTTCTAGTATCTTAACCCATTAGAAACCACCAGCACTTTTTCACACATTTTTATGCCACCCCACAATTATTCTTTATATGGTATTTGGGAAGAAATTAAGTTTGTTTATGTTATTGCTGGTAATACAAAGAAGTGCTGGAGTTTTCAACAATTCAATTTAAAAACTGAAGTGCAAACATCATAAAAATATATAATTGATTTGAATCTTAAAGCCAGGCTTAGGAGGAAAATATTTTGTTGACATGTTGTAGATTTTTATAAGACAGGAAAAGTGGTTAATAAAATACAGATTTTTGAATATTTAAAAACTAGGGGAAAAAGGTTGGAAAAGGGGAAAATATGCTTTTGTGGCTTATAAAAATCAGTTCAACAACATACAAAAAAAAAATGTTCTTCTGTAGCCTTGTTTTAACAAGGGTTACAGTACTAGTTCACTTATGTCAGGAAAATTTCAACAGATAAATGTATTTTAATGGCCCTCCAATGGAAGAGCCCTGGAATTTGAGAATATACTGTACTTACCTTCCCCTCCCTGTAGCTAGGCTATAAATCTTAAGCCATTAAAGTATAGCAGAGTAACAAGCCACTACAACCACTAAGAGAATAGCCTACACAAATCCTTCAGAATCAAGTCAAGTCCAGCCTTAAATTTGGGTTGGGAAATTTGCTTTTTCGTACCAAAAGAGAGCAGCTTAGCTCAGTCAGCTAAACTGGAAGTAGTCACTGTGTGTGCGATGAAGCGTGGAGATCTCTAGGTTCCCAATTCAATTCCCATCACTGCTATCCTTGTGTTTTTGCTGGAGTGCTGAAATGCGAGATACTATAATGCATCGCCTTTCGGATGAGACATTTAAGCCATTGGTCCTGTGTACATTATGTCCTGTGTGCACATTAAAGAACGCAGTACATTTTTCGGGAAAGTGTACTGCCCAATCACAACCAGAAAGACCCCACTGGAAATAAGTTTTCTTCAGACTTTCGTGGGTTATCTTTGGTGTTTACACCGCAAAATCAATCTATCCATATAATTATCAATAAGCAATATTTAAAACTAATTGATCAATAATCACTAAGTAATAATCAATAAACATTTGTAGAATACCAATATACAGAGCATAATGTAACATTTGTTTGATATGCTACTGTACATATGAGTAAAATATGTTAATTAATCTCAATTCAACATGAGATTACTGCAATAAACAAACAACACTATATTTTACATTAAAACAAAATATAGACAGAAATATAATTAAATTGTAAAACTGAGAAAATCTTGAAGTACTAAACTTATTTTTAAGTATAAAATGTACAGTATGTACAACAAACCTTGAAAACATGCAGTTAATCCTAATCCTTCGAACAAGAATTATGAGATAACAAAGTACAGTATATAATTATGTTATGATTGATAGTACAAAGAATAAATTATTAAAAACCTGAATTCCAAAGAGATTGTTTCCTTTGGGGTGTAAGCCACTATTAATACCACAAACTAAGACACAGGCCTACCAATTCAATCATTTGTTTTTCAAGTTTTAACAAACGTTTAATTCAGTACTACACTGTTTATGTTGTTCAATTTATGATTATGGATTAATAAGTTTAGGGATTTGTGAAAAAATATAGTTGGTGAGAGTTGAAAACAAATATTTGCCAGCTTACAGATAAGGCTGCTATATGTTTGATTTGCAACACCAAGGAAGTATCTCCTTGGTAACACATAAATCAAAGATAATGGTTCAGAGAAAAATAGGAAAAAATTGTGCTGAATTACTAGGTTTAGTGACTTAGTAACCAGATGTAAAGAATTTAGCATGAAACTTTCATATTTTGACCAAATCTCATCTATCCACTGAAATAAAATTCTTAATGCCTAAAAGAAATCCCAAGATTTGAAAGTAGGCCCTACTGCTGTAACAAACACGAACATCCATGAAAAGCCACAAATGATAGAATTAGCTCTGGCCTAATTATGAAAATTTGCATAATTTAATGGTCTAACTAGAGAGATAAATTTACATCTCCATGGTCTAACTGTCTCCCAGAGGAGAATTTCACAATTTGAGGAACAATTTACTATACATCAGTATGCGACAGACAAACCAACAATGATTATTGTTTGCTCAATTTGACTAATAGTATCATGATCTCAGAGGCATTATATCCAGATTTTTTTTTTTTGGCTGGGATGGTGTGGGGAGAGGGGAATGGGGAAGCTTTTGCCACCCTCTGCATCCAGTACTGGATCTACAATGCAACATTAGTGGTCTTATTTTCAAAAGGATAATTTGCGCTAAAAAGTTAACACTTCAGATGAAAAAGCTACGAAGGTATGGATTAGCTGAGGTGGCCCTCAGACATATTAAGGGCTTAACGAAGCAGTGTCACGTGGTACCATGACGTGGCGAAATAGTCCTCTTTTTTTTCGGCGCCTTGAGACGATTTTATTGTGGAAGGCGCACTACAAATATCCCACCATTACCATCTTTATGTTACGCAGTTTTTCAGATTGTGTAAATTGAAAGAAAAAAAAACTGGATAACTCTGCCGAAGAAAATGTTTTAACGATTGGTGATAAATACATACCTGTACGAGTATGCATACAGGTAATAATAATATATATCCAAAGTATACACCATTTTATCGGGTCTATTTTGGAACAGCGCAACCAACGTCTCCCAACTTTTCACTGGTGGACATCCAACGGCCTAGCCTGAGCAGCTGGCTAGTTACAAATGAAGCACCGCGCAGTGGATAGCGCCGCCAGATCTTTGCTATGCAGCAGCAGATAACAGATACAATTGTTAATACTATATGTGTAAACACTGCATTAGCTTTTTAAAACTTAGACTTGCTTTTAATAACATTAACATTTCGTTCTTTTTCCATTTTAAAGTATTTGTGCTCCTTAGTTAGTTATCTTTAATTAATCCATGATGTTAAATATTTAGAGCGAAATGCTAGGCCTCTGGAATTCCCCCAGTGGTAGTTGCCAAATTTTATGACATTTTCATTTCAAATATAGCGAAAATGGTGTATAGACTGTGAATAAGAAGTAGACAATAAATAAATCTAAAATTCGCAATTGTAAGGATAGGCAGCTTAGGCTACGTGGCAACTGCACACAAATTTTCTTGCACAAATTTGCCTGTGCATGCAACTATTTTTGTGTGCAGATTTGAAACTGCACATCCAACAAACTGAATGTAACACTAGTCCAACTGCCATAAAAATAACTTAAGGTAATGCATGCAATTTGCATAACTGAGTGCTAATTGCTACAGCATCAAATCTTGTGCTTGCTCATTGCTACATCAAATCTTGTGCTTGAGAATAGTCAACAAAATTGTGTGACCATCAAGCATGAATTTGAATGCAAACTAAAATGAAAACACATTTTTCTAAAATTCAATCTAAGAAAAAATATAAGTAAGCATGCCTAAATAAACTAGCATGAAATAGGCCTATCCAAGTACAGTATATGGGAGTTAAGACCTAGCCTAGGCTAGGCCTAGATGATAGAAAACAGAGTAGGTATACGTACTACAACTTGGCCTGAAATGACTTCTCGTCAAAAAAAGTGACTGACCTCATGACCATAAAAAATACACAAAACAAAAATTAACTAGGCCTAATATAGGCCTAGTAATATATAATTATTCCCTACATAATAAATAATAAATTACAAAATGTTGTATGCAATTTAAATTAGTCCCTAATATTACTAATAATACTAGGCTACTCACTCACAAAAGTACACTCAGTCAATCTTGCCGACTTCGATCAACTGGTGGTGGTTGTGTTGTGGCAATCCGAAAGCAGACATTTCGTTGTAATCTGACCTTTTTACTTAAACGTGTATCACAGCGTTAATACCACGCTATGCATATATAAAATCTTAAATATACTAGTAATTTGTTCAAAGCTATTGTAAGTCAAACGTAAATTATTAAATATTTATTGATTTTTACCAAAACCTAGAAAAGACCGCCAGTACATTTTTAGGTACTTCCATCCAGGGATTGATAAGGGTGGGACCTACCTACCTGAATTTAAGGTTCTCTATTCGAAGCCTGACCTACAGCGCATCGATTCGACCATGCGAGTAAAAATAATACAAACAACAGAACCAATAATTCACTTCATAAGTATTAGTTATGCTTGAATCAGAACACTAGGAACACACCTTTTTCAAAAGGGGAAAAACTAATCAAAACAAAACCCAAACCAAACTCTAGTCCATCCCCAGTCTAGATTTCATTGACCTTTTTAACCTCTATAAACATATTTTACAAGATATCCTAAACTTGCAAATGAATAAAAACATTATCAAGATATAAATTATTATAAATACTATATAATAACTAAACAAGAATAATTGAAGTATTTATTCCTGAAAAATGTTAAAGTTTCTTTATTTTATAATATTTCACACAAAAAAATCTACAGTAGCGAAATAAGCAAAGGTCACAATAATAGGTCACACGTGTGCTCGTGTGTTGTCGCATGTTGGAAAAGGTCGTGTTTGTTGTGTCTGTAAAACGGAGATAAGGTTGATTTCAATTATGCATTTATATTTGACTAGTTTATTGTTAAATAAAATGATTTAGTGTACCATATTTAAATTAAAATTATTTAGTAAATGTGTAGGCCTAGCCTTGTGACAAGTGTGTGTATGATGAAATTCGACCGGTAATTTCGTCGACTAGCCTAGGCCGAGGTCTACTAAAGAGATAGGGCCAGCACTCCACTGGCCTAGGCTGTGTGTGTGTGGTCCAGCTGAATTCCGTCCAGCTAGGTCGGCTAGGCCTCTACTAGCTAGGCTTAAGCTTAGTACTAGCTAGGCCAATTCAAGTACTAACCTTGGCCCTACTACTGCTAGTTTCACTGTTTCAGACTTACTCACACAGACAGGCCAGACTGTATTATGTAAAAGTAAGGTCTGCACGGGAAAAAACTGATTATATTCTCTGCGCAAAAATTTGGCCAAGAAATCCGTCCTTGCATTTAGGATAAAAAAAACCCAATATTTTTCCACACAGATTTTGCCGAAAATGAGGCTTTGACCAGACCAATGTATTATGCGGTAGTTACAGTTCTGCAGACCTATTTTCCAAGCAATTTTCTGCACAAATTTGAGCTATTTTTTATGTACCATCTGCACAAACTAAAAAACTTATGGCACACAGGAACTTTGGGCTATGTTATGCCAATGCATGAGCAAAATTTACAGACTGCTTATGCCAATCTAATAAGCATGTGCAATAAGCAGTATTGATAGAAAAGCTTGCACCAAATAGTCAGCATTACAACAGGGATATTTATTTATTGAACAAACGCATCATTATTTTCAGTAGCATACATACACAGTGTGTTCTCATGCAAAACAAATACTCTGTACACCACTCACAAAATATAAACAAATAAGCAAAGGATATTCGGCCGTCCACTGGGTGAACAATAAAAAATCAGTTATTCGCCCGTCCGCCAACTCAGTCAATAATTATTTAAAAAATTAAAAATAACCTTCTCGCACTGTAATAACTTCAATATGATCAGCACTAAAGGCGTCTGGATCAAGAATAGACATGTTATAATACCTAATATTCATGGTCACATGGAGCTGTGTTGGGGACAACGAGCTGCTGACACGGCTCCTAATAGGGCGTGAACTCACAGGGGCTGTGAACTGAGTGGCCTGAATAGGCCAACCCTAACCTTAAAAATAACCTCTCGATTAGCGCGAACCTTCCATGTGAATAGTCACTCCCAAACAAATAATCACAAAGTTAAATCTCATCAGGAGGAAAGGCAGCAGGAGCCAATGCCTGGCATGACGTATCAGCGTGTGTAGTGGATTCCCATGGCATGCATTGACACGTATTGACACGCACAGTTAGCCTTGTTCGCGCATGGTTCACGCAAGTGGCGCGCACATGGCACGAACATTGATGCTGCCAAATTTTTGAACATTTAATAATTCTCTCTACGATATGGCATGCACTCCTGCATCCTTCACATAATCTTCATGCTCGTTCCCGAAGACTCTAATCATTGACACCCAAAGTGCACGCCATTGTGGGAACGAAAATTGTGCAATTGTTAGGGCGGCATTACTGTTATTATTCATTACAATAATAAATTATATAATAACAATATAATAATTTCTATGCGCAGTGTAAAATCAAACAGTTGGAGCATTGCTTTTGGCACACTTAATTCCCTGGCTCAAATTTTCCCGACAGATTGGCCATGCACACAGCAGCTCCACCGCCACCATGGTTGGGAGCTTGGGGTGGGGAGGAATGAAGGTTAAAAAAAGTTTTAAAAAAAATAATTTTTAAATTAACCTTCTCATTTTGCAGTAACATACAAATTATTAACTTGAGCATAGAAAATATTAAATTTAAAAAATGTGTTCCCTGATTCTGGATAATTATAATAAAGATAATATATAAAACACTTCCAGTGACTGGAAAAATGATGGTTTTTATGGGTAAGAATTTTTTAAATACACTAATTTCTATGTTAAAGTTGATAATTTTATGTTACTTCAAAATGGGCCAAGTAAATTTCAAAAATGATTTTTATGATTTTTTTTGTTTTTGGAAGGGACATTACATTTTTAAAAATCAGTTATGTCTCTAAGTTCCCGAAAATGGCACTCTCAGGTATGTTGTCTCTTGCTCAGAATATATTTTTAATGAATATTTCCCAGCAGATTTGTACCATGACTCTCCCGGCAGCTGGTCCAGCTGCTGGTACTACATCTGCTTTGGCAGTGTAGTTTCTTGAGTTGTACTATAACTTTATTTTCTATTTCTTTAGTTTCCATATTACTTTATTATTTTAATTGTGTTTTACAAGGTGCAGTTGTACTTTATTTTGAAACCACACAAACAAAGCAATATGGTGAAGAAGGAAGTTAAGCAAAAAGAAGTTCAAGTTAAGAAATCAAAATCAAACAAAACTAATAAAAATACCTCAGAAGACCTAGAGTTATCAAAGTGTGAATTATCAAGAACAAAACAAAAGAAGACGAAAAAGCAGACTAAGAGAACACAGAAAGTTGTGGAGTCAGAAGAAGAGTATAAACTCCCGAAACTCTCATTTGAATGTAATGATGAGAATGCAGAACAAGCCATGTCTGCTTCTTTCATTGAGGTTTTTGAGGGGAAGGATCAACAGTCTGAAAGCTCTGTAGTTTCCACAAAGACGCAAATTGCAGCAGAAGAATCGAAGAAGAAAACGCAATCTAAAGAAAAGTCTTCAAAAGTTGCTGTTCAAGAAAAGAAAGCAGTGAAAAGGAAACAGAATAAAGAGAATGATGATGTGGAAACCAAGAAAAAAATAGGGAAGGAATATGGGAAAAGCGTTGGAGGTAAAAAGCGTAAGCAAAATGAAATCGATGAACTAACAGTAAATACAAAAGGAACCAGCACAACAAATCTACAGAAGGAACTTGGAAACATCCGAGTAGAGCCCGGGACCATCAGCATCGTAGAACCAAAGCGGCAGAGAGCCGTCATCGATCCTGCAGTGCCAAAGCAACAGGGAAGAAGCAAAAAACGAAAAACAAATATGGTAGAAACAGAGAAAAATCAAACAAAGGAAGAAGTGAAATCGAATGAAAGCGTACATTCTGAAGGTGATGTTTTTTTACAATTTTTTTGGGCCTAAATCTATAAAAACCATCAATAATTTAATGGAAACATTCAATTGATTATATATTTAACTGAATTTGATATAATTATCAAGTAGATCATCAGAATACAACAAAGATATATCTGCTGGTGTACAGACATTTTTTTTTTTCCATTTTATGATATTTATGTAAATTCTTGCTTTTTCAGGTCAAATACTTCTGAATGCTGGCAACCTTCCAAGTGGTTGTGACACGGACGCTCTTAATTTCTTTTTTAACGAGAGTGACTTGTACCCGCAGATCAACTTTAAAAAGAAATCTGTTACTATCAAAAATGAGAAAGGTGAAAAACGCCGCAGAAACGTCAATAAAGGGTGCGTGAACAATAACTAGTTTAATTTTAGTAACAGGCCAATTTATTAGACTGCATACTTACCTTAACTTGATATGTTAACTCGCAGAACAAATTTTATACGTATAATTTCAACATCAAGCAGATATGAAGCTCAGCTTTGAACCAGACTTCAAATTTCAATGCTGTTGGTTAGGTCGAAGTCAGTACAATATGCCAGTATTTTTTTTAATTTAAGTATTCGTTTTTACTAGTACCATCATTTTTTATTTATTTTTTTTGGAAAAATAACACAAATTTTATATTTGTTTGCATAAAGTAAAATATACTGTAAGTATACAAATTTCAATCAATGTGACATTTATTTCACCATGAGCAACAGAAAAGAAAACATACAATACTATGGCGAGGGACCAGTTTAGAAGCCTAGGCTTGTCTTCACGGTCCCTTTTAACAGATACAAAGACTAAAAATTAAAACACACAAAAAAGAAAAAAAAGATCATAAAAGTACCTATTGATATCCTTTTTTTCAGAGTTTACTAAAAAGTCTTATGAGTATTTGGTGTTTTTAGTTTACTACTATCAATGTTGTTCCATACGTACATTTTGATAATTTGAGATGATTTCCTTTTTGAGGAGTTTACTAAAAGTCTTAAGAGTATTTGATGTTTAAGAGACAGGTAGATATCTCCATGGAATGGACACAAATTGAGAATTGGCTTTAAGTCAGCCTAACAAACGGAATACGAAGCCTGTTACACTGTCTTGTCCGATAGTTATGAACCTGTCTCTTATACACATCTAGATGTGTATAAGAGACAGATACTGTAATGACCTAGATTTTGAAGAAAGAGTATTCTGCAACAATTCAATGAAATTAAAATGACTATATTACAACTTTTATACACAATTTGTGTTGAACTGTGTTGGAACTTAATTTGGACTAAAGTGGTGATAATTAAGAACTTTTAATATAAGAGTGCCATTTCTGCCCATCTAGAGGTAGAGTAACTATTTCTTCAAATTTTCACACCTCAGCCCCAACTATGGTGGGGCTGAGGTAGGTGTTCACTCATGACTGATCCCACCTATTAAACAGCGCCCTTAGAACCACTAGACTGAGCCCCTCCCCCAGCTCCCCCAACAGGGGGCCTTTGGTGATGGCCCAGCTATGAGCTCAATTTGCTCCCATTATATCCACAACTCGGACTATATGGTCGCACGTCAATACAATTTCATCAGCAGGGAAAATCAATGAATTTGGAGTGTATTGGCATTCATTAATAGAAAGTCAGTGCATTTC